TTAAGCCAGAGGTGCAAGGAGGAGGCCCATGGTTACCCTAACAACCTGGGGGATTCTGATTGTGTCATTTTCTTCTGTTTTCCATAAGGTTTTGGGCCCTACTCAGAAGGGGCAACAAATGAAGAAATACATCCGGGAAGTTTACTGGGAACTCAGTGAAGGTCCCTGGCAACCCAGACCACAAACCTGGGACCAGGAACAGAGGAGGCACAGAAGGCACTTTCCTGGAGATCCAGCTGCGTATGAAGTCCTGCAGTCAACCCCAGAAGGCCAGGGGGATGCCCGGAGGTGAAGACAGAAACGTTCCCCCTGAGGATTGACTCTTCCTATCGAGAGCTGGGCCAACCTTGTCCCAAATCTTAGCTTTGCGCCAGGATGGCATCCCAACCCAGAGGTTACAAGAAACTGCTTGCATGGGGGCCGGGCCGAGTGTGGCTCACCCCTGTAATTACCCAGGCACCTTTGGGAGGCCAAGGCAAGGCAGATCCTGAGTCAGGAAGTTCGAGGACCCAAGCAGCCTGGCCAACCATAATGACAGACCTCCGTCTCTTACTACAAAAATACCAAAAAAATTAAGCCAGGCGTGGTTGGTCTTTCGTGCTGTCCTTTCTAGTCCCAGCTTACTTGGGGGAGGCTTGAGGCAGAAGAATCGCCTGAACCTGAGAGGGCAGGGATGGTTGGCCGGTGAGGCCCAAGAATCACACCACTGCACTCCAGGCCTGGGCAACCAAGAGTGAAACGTCGCTGTCTCAAAACAAAGAAGAAAAGAAAAGGAATGCTAAATCAGGCTATCATATCTCTAGAATTGGCTTCTACTTGCCCGTGGGAAAGGTCCAGCAGCTCAGGTTAGAATTCCAGCCTTAGAAAGTAATAATAAAAGAAAAAAATTCTTTTAGAAAAAAGAATGCCAGCCTTTTGAAACATAGACAAGCTCTAGATCTCATGGCAAGGGCCATTAATCACAACTGTCCATTGTCCAACCTGGAACTTCATATCCCTGGCAAGATCTCTTCCCCACAAAAGACATAAATGTATATATGTCCACCAAAGGCATGTACAAGAAAGCTCATAGCAACTTTATTTATAATAGCCCCAAACCAGAAACAACCCAAACGTTCATTAACAATAGAGTGAGTAAATAAACTGTGGTATAATCATACAATGGGATACTACACAACAGTGAAAACAAACAATTTACAATCGCAAGTAACAAGAGGAATAATGGCCGGGTGTGGTGGCTCATGTCTGTAATCCTAGCACTTTGGGAGGCCGAGGCAGGCAGAGCACCTGAGGTCGGGAGTTCGAGAGCAGCCTGACCAACATGGAGAAACCCTGTCTCTACTAAAAATGTGTAATTAGCTGGGCATCATGGCCCATGCCTGTAATCCCAGCTACTCAGCAGGCTGAGGCAGGAGAATCGCCAGGAGGCGGAGGTTGCAGTGAGCCAAGATGGCGCCATTGCACTCCAGCCTAGGCAACAAGAGCGAAACTCCGTCTCAAAAAAAAAGAAAAAAGAAATCAAGAGGAATAAATCTCATAAACATGATGTTGAATGAAAGAAGAAAGATGCCAAATACAAAAGAACACATAATGGATGGTTCCACTTTTTTGGAGCTCAAGAATGAGCAAAACTGGACTGGGCATGTTGGCTCACACCTGTAATCCCAACACTTTGGGAGGCCGAGGCGGGCAGATCACAAGGTCAGGAGATCAAGACCATCCTGGTTAACACAGTGAAACCCTGTCTCTACTAAAAATATGAAAAATTAGCCAGGCGTGGTGGCACGTGCCTATAGTCCCAGCTACTTGGGAGGCTGAGGCAGGAGAATGGCATGAACCTGGGAGGCAGAGCTTGCAGTGAGCCAAGATAGAGCCACTGCACTCCAGCCTGCGCGAGAGAGCAAGACTCTATCTTAAAAAAATAAAAAAGAAGAAGAATGAGCAAAACTAACGTATGGTGACTAAAGTCAGAATAGAGATAACCTCTGAAGGTGGGAATATAGGCCGAGAAGGGGAATAAAAGAACCTTCTTAGTGCTGGAAATGTTCCATCCCTTGATCTGAGTGGGGTATACATAAAATTAGTGCACCGTATATATGTTGTACCTCAATAAAAAGTAAATAATATACACATATATTTTTCCTACTCTACTATTACAGCCTCCGTAACCTTTGCCCATTGCAAACAGATATCCAAAGAAGCCAGAACATCCTTCTGGCACCTGGCCAACAGACGTAAGTACAGTGCTTCCACATGAGGGCCACCAGAGCCACCAGACAGGACTGAGGGAAGAAAGCCTTACCTGGTAAGCCAGCTGACGCTTCTCATCCTGAAAACTGTGAACAAATTCATAGAGCTTCTCCCACTCCTGGAAGTAGCTGCTGTTGAAGCCAGTATCTCCCATCAGTAGCCTCCAGATCCGGTAAGGCAGAAGGAGGACAAACTCCATGAGGCGGCCAAGAAGGGGGAAGAAGCTGAACCAATTCAAGAAGGAGCCAAGGGTTTCTGCCACATAGCTGAGGGTGGCAGCTGTGTTGCAGAGGGCACTGTATGCCAGTGGGCCTGTGAAAGCAAGGTAAGCCAAGCCCAGCCGGTAGAGGCGAACACTGAACGGCTCTGACACCAAAGCTTTGTAGCGGCGATGCTTCTGAGCTGTAATGCTGGCGGCCACACTAATGGGCAGTATGGCTATGGGGCGGCCATAGAATATAGGTGAAGTGAGAAATGCTGCCACCAGAGTGTTCTTAAAGTCTGAGGTCTGATTGCCAACAGCAGCCACCAGCAAGACCCCTAAGCCAACTGCCAGTGGGAGGGCCACAATATAGAAGTTGACCATGGATGAAAGGCTAATCAGTGCCACAAGGCCAAAATAGATGCCAACGATCACCTGGGCAGCAAAGCGAATGGGACTCAGAGGGGGTGTCACCCCTCTGGGGCTCTGCCTCTGCCCCTGGGCTCTGTTGGCCTGAGCTACAAAGCTTGGGAGCTTCCAGAACTCCCAGAGCCAGCCCAGCTCACCTCCCCCCAGGGTCAGCATCCAGAGCAGGGCGTGGCTGTCCCTTCCCAGGTACAGGTGGTGAAGCCCAGCAGGGCCCCCCACAGCCCAGAGGGCATAGGTCACCAGGAGCCCCTTCGCCATCCTCTAGGGCAAAGGTCTCAGAACAAGTCCGCTTACTCGCAGCACAGAAGTCTTGGAGTTCTCTGTGAGAATCATGGCCGTCATGGCCCCAGAGTTATCCTTAGACCCTAAGAGATGGGAAAAAGCAGAGTCATAAGATGATGTCCAAGCTCCAACACAGCAACCATTTCTCTTTCCCATGAAAGTCGAGTCCAGATCTGCCTGAGTCCCCAGTGCTATTTATCTCATATCCCTTGTCCTAGCACCTCAGTCCCATTCTTTACAACCACAGTGACTCCAGATTTAGAGGAGAAAGCTGTTTAAATTTCAGACCTCCCCTCAGACCAATGACCCGAAATGACTCATGGGGGGATGTGTGGAGGGGCAGAGCTGCATTGGATGCCTTTCCAAAGTTCCCACACATTTTGAAAGCCTCCGCCTTACCCACGACTTAACTCCAACTGTGGCTGCCCTTCCACACTGGCGCAGGCTTTAGCCCCTCTCCTGCCTTCCTAACTCTCCAGGCCATGAGATTTTCCCACAGATCAAACTTGAAAGGGGTCCTGAATTCCCTCTATTAAAATATCCTGGAAAACTACGTTTGACCTAGACCTTTGCACCCCACAACTCAACCACCTCTTTCGGAGGCCGGCTTGAAAAGTCACTCCACAGCAGCTGGACGAATCCTCACAATATCAAACCAGACGTCAAGCGTGCCTGCCAGTGTCCCCTCTATCTGGAGCGACAACCAGTCAGCACCCGCTAGTCCCAAATTAAGTGGCCGTACCTGGGCGCCCCGCTCCCAGACCGAGTCAGACCAGTCATTTCCTTTGACCACAGAGTGAAAATGACATGTCTCACCCCGCTCCCACTTCCATCCAAATGGACTTTGTCTTTTGTGTCTGTTGTGTCACGGAAGTCCGGCCTCCCCAGGCCAAGCTCCTCCTCAGGGCCCTCCCCAGGCCCTCGGAATCACATTCCCTCCTGGGACTCCTCCCGCCAGCCCTCGAGGGGAGAGTGCAAGGCTCTGCAGACGCCTGCAGCTCCAGTAGACTCAGCGCCCAGCCCAGGCCCAGCGCCTCGCGCACCAAGGCACCACCGCCGCCAGGTGGCGCTGCCGCCGAAGGAAGGGCGGGTCCGGGCGGTCCCCAGACTCACCTTGTGTGAGTGCCGAGTCACAGCAGCACAGGACTGCCCCTATGGAGGGGCTGCCTGGAGGAGCAAGGACGCTCCTATCTGTAGTGCTAAAAAAGGACAAACTCCTGTAAATGCAAGAATATGTCCTTGATTACCTCTTCCCACCCCCACAGATAGAAAGGTGACTCCTCCCTCACCTCAAGCTGCACGCTCCTCTTTTCACGCTCCGTTGACCTTCAAGACTGGATGGTTCCACCTCCAATTCCCCTAAGGCAGAGACATCCACGGACAGGCTGCAGGGAGGGACCCCCAACCCAAGCTGTCCTCAACCCCCCACAGGGCTTGCCTCACGGGCCCACCTCCGAGCCTTCCAGTTAGGGGCTCTGCTTCTGCACCTGAGCCTGAGATCTGAGGAGCCTCCCAATCCAGGGCTGCTCTGTCCCGCGGGCTATGGACCAGAGGGAGAAACGGAAGCAGAGGGTTGGAGGGCGAGGCCGCAGCCCGGGGCTCGGGGTAGTCTGCCTTCCTGTGCCTCTGCGCTGCCACGGAGCTGCAATGCAAGACGCCTTCATTTCAACGTCCCGGGCTCCTACCCCGGGTTCTACTCCATGACCTTGGCTAAGTCATGCAGCTTCTTGGGCCTCAATTTCCTTCTCTGGAAATCTCGTGGATCTCCAAGGTCCCCCAGTCTGGACTTGCGGGGGCTTCGGGGGGACGGTCGGCCTCGCGGGTGTCACCTCCCTGCAGTAGGCAGCGCGTTTCCCTCCAAACGCCCTCACAGCCCTCATCTCGGCCTGGAGAGGAAATGCTGCTCTCTATATGACCTCTTAGGTCTCACTGAGGGACCTAGGCTGGGAGGGGCCCCAAAGCGACGCCTCAGACTGCTGGGGGCGGGGGCGGACAGGGGCGCTGAATAATGAATGAGACTTAATTGGGCCCGCACTGCGCGACGGCGCGCTAAGCTTTGCAAACAGCGCGGGCGGCGGCGGCCGCCTCTGGACAAACAATCTCCCGGCTCAGGTGGTGGGGCAACGGCGGCAGCCACACAAGGGAGAGGGAAGAGGCTGGCCGCCGGGGCACCCCGGGCCGCAGCGCGCCACCAGCTTTACGGCCGGAGGAACCCAGGAATGCAGTGCTGCGCTGGCGGCCCAGAGAGTGGGGGTCGGGAAGGGGCTCAGGGTTCGATCTTAGGAAGCGAGAAGTGGGGAGGGAGAGAAGCCGACTGTGCGGAGAGAGCCAGGGGCCCAAGGGCAATGTAAGCGCGAGGAAAAGCCGAAGAAACGAGTGGAAGGCGGAGGAGAGGGGAGAAGTGAGCGAGGAAAAAGCGCACCGGGGGAGGGGCGACGGGGTGGGAGGAGCGGGAGAAGAGCTGTTACCGGGAGGAAAGGGAAGAGAGATGGAGGAACAAGCAAAGGAAGGCGCGAGGAGCCGGGAGAAGAGGAATTGGAGAAGAGACAAGGAGAGGAATGGGAGGTGACCGGAATAAGAACGAGGGGGCGGCAGAGCGGGGGGAGGCGCCCCTGCCTCCGCCTCGCCCCGCAGCGCTCCCGCCCTAGTGCTCTCTCCAGCAGCCCGCACTCACTTTGTCACAATTACCGGGCCGTCACTCCGCCCGGATTGTTTTCCCAAAATTGTTGTTCTATAAACTGGTGCAGAGTGGGAGGTGGGGGGATCTGACAAGCTGCAGCGAGTGGAAAGTGTCTGAGCTGTGGTGAGGGGCGCGGTGGTGCATTTACCCGCAAACGGGCCCCACGTGGCCGGAGGATCCAGAAACCCATGCAGGAATTCTGGTTGCTGCCCTAGCCTCGTCGCTGACCCTGCTTTTAACCTTTTTGGCTATTCTCAGCTTCTGCTGCCTTGGTTTCCTCAGCAGAGTGCGACAAGGATCGGAGGTTGGGGTGGCGGAGGCGCTTGTGGGTGGGGTCCAAACTTTCCTGCCTGCCCCATTATGTCTTGTTCTTTACTACCCAGGTGTCCCCCGAGAGGGCTGGGGTGGTCTATCCCAGCCCAGCTGTTCCCAGAGCGGTCTCGAGTGCCTTCTTCCACCGTGAGTGAGGCTTCTGCCCTCACCCGGTCTGGGCCATCTCCTACCCCGCCTGTGCCCTCCGACCCCCTGCCCTGCGCCGCTCGGTGTCCCAGACTCTCAATTCGGTGAACATATGTTGCGCGCCCACTGAGTGCCAGCGCTAAGCCAGCCTCACCCCGCCGCCTCTCCCCCGCCACCCGCCCCTTCCCGGCCGGCCCGGCCTGTCGGCTCCGTGACAGCAGCCGCCGAAGCCCCGGCCCCGCGGGAGCGGCCGGAGAGGAGCCGCCGCATGGCTGCCTCCGACACTGGCCTCCCCGGCGGCTCCAGGGGCAGCGAAGGGTGGCGGCCGCTGAAGCGAGACTGGAGCTGGCCGGGGGAGTTGACAGGGCTGAGCGCGGGAGGGGGAGGCCCTGGGAGGGCTTCTCTCTGGTTATCTAAGGCCCGTCGTTCTCATTCCATCGCCCTCGGGTCCCGCCCGGGTCCCGACCCCTCCTGGCTTCACCAGTCTGGGACGTGGTAGGCTCCCCACACCCCCTCCTCCAGCCCGGGTGATTTACACGCGGGCTCCGCGCAGCGGCCGCTTCCCAATCAGGAATATCGACCCCGGGCGGGGCCCCCGGGCCGCATCGATCCCTTTAAGGCTCGGGATTTAAAAATGTCAAATTTGCCTTTTCCAGGCGGGCGGAGGGGGCGGGGGCCAGGAGGAGGGAGGTTGGGAGGAGGGAGGGACAGCAGGGCATCGACCAGGCGTCTGTGCCCAGAATGTGAAGTGACCTGCGCGTGCCCGAGTCCTGACACGGTGTGACCATCCTTGGGTTAGCAATCACCTCTGGATGGGGGCAGGAAGAAAGCCCTCCTCCTCCTACCCCAATCTCCTTGGGGTATTCTGCTGGGCTGGTGTATTCTTAAAGAGAAGAGCCCCAAGAGGAACAAAGAGAGAGCCCCCGAAAATGTATGAAGACAAATTTGGAAGATTCCTAAATGTGGAAATATGCAGACACAAAGGAGGGTACAAAGGCTGGGCGCCGTGGCTGACGCCTGTAATCCCAGTACTTTGGAAGGCTGAGGTGGGTGAATCACTTGAGGTCAGGAGTTTGAGACCAGCCTGGTCAACATGGAGAAACCCTGGCTCTACTAAAAATACAAAATAAATAAATAAATAAATAAAGCAAGCCAGGCAGAGCCTGTAGTCCCAGGTATTCAGGAGGCTGAGGCAGGAGTATCTCTTGAATCCAGGAGAGGAGATTGCAGTGAGCCAAGATGGAGCCACTGCACTCTAGCCTGGGAGACAGAGCGAGACCCCGAAAAGAAGAAGAAGGAGAAGAAGGAGGAGGAGGAGGAGGAAAAAGAGTACAGAGATAAAGATACAGAAGCTCCAAGAGATACCCTAGCCCCAAGGAACAACAAGGCAAAGGGAAGGGTCTCCCTGAAAAAAACAGGGGGCCAGAGATCCAGAGTCAGCCCAGTTTTCTGCTCTGTAGACCCAGGAGGTTCAGGGCTGGGGAGGAGGCCAGGTTCAACTTCTTGGTGTTTTTGAGAATGAAGATTGAGAGTGGAGACCAAGCAAAACTGAAGAGAGTTATTAGGGAGAGGAATTAGAGTGCAGTTAGCATTATCCTCCCAAGGCATAAACTAGTAACTAACTTGGACTTGAGACCCAAAAGATTAGGATCTCAGAGGCTGCTAATACAGGCTCCAAAGAGGTAGGCTGCCTTGGAGGTCTGAAGGTCAGCCCCTCTCTTCCTGAGCATCACACAGGCATCTGCTCAACATCTACCAACTCCTCTCTGGCCACCACACCAGCCTAGGGAGGCCATATGGGTTGGAGATCACATCTTACATTGGAGACCTCGTGTATGTGTATGTGTAGGAGTATGGGCTAGACAACTCTGGTAGTAATCACTTTGTTCCCCAGGGCACAGCAACTAGGTGTCCAAACTTTGGCAAAAAACAAACAAACAAACAAAAAATCAATCCACTACTTTCAAGACCCTCAGGGTAGGGATGTTAGTGGTGAAGGTGCTGGAAGGGAGCAGCTGTCCTGACCAGCACTCTCACAGTTAACATCTAGCACCACCCCCACCCCCCACCTCAGCAGCACACCTCAGTTGTCACCGTCACCGTGCGCACTGCCATTTCCTCCATAACTGGAGACAGAGCTGACAGCCAGCTTGGGGGTAGTGGGGAGATGGACACACAGGGGGTGGACACACAGGGAGGGGTGGTTCATCCTCAGATGGGAATCTCACACCTCTACTGGCAAAATCATACTGACACACACCTGGCACTGACACACACAGTCACTGACCCCCACGTGCGATCCACACTCATCAATCCCTGTCATACACACCATCTCTGAGTGCACAAGTCACGCACAGTTTCTCAGAGGTCAGACCGAAGCCCCTAGTCTTGATACCTGCCTAATACCTTTCCTTGACATCTCAGACCTTAAATCACCTAACCCCAGAAGAGGGTTTAGGTCCCCACCCTTGCTTCCCAGCCAGGGCCAGCTCCAATAACTGGGAGGCCGAGCTCAAGGAAATCAAGTCCCAGGGTCAAGGCGAAGGACCAGGAGCAGATGGAGCAGTGGGACTGTTAAACACTTCCCTTAGCCCCCTCCTGCTACTGGCCTGTTTCCCGGCACGTCCACTCGCAGCCCGCCCGACCCGCCACCCGCCTGTCAGTCGAGTAATGAATGCGCGCTCGGGGCCCCGGGCCCCCCTGGAGTCGTTCATCACTGCCAGCACCGCCCACCTCTCTGCCTCCCGCCAGGAGGGCTAAGCGGCCAGGGCTGTGAGAGCCCCTCACCCCCAATCTCGACCACTAATTGTCAGATTGAGATGTTGATTTGTCAGCTGGGAGCTAGCGCCAAAGAATCTGCAGTAAAACCTGGACTCCTTGAACTCCCTCTAGGCTCCCCCCGGGTTCTCCAGGACTTGGAGCCTCTTTTGAGCGGATGAGGATTGGTTGGATTTCTCTGAACAGAGCGGGCACAGAAGCGCAGTGTCCTTCAAAGCCGGTAGGAGGCGCGCCAGGCTAGAAACCCTTGGTTTCCCTAGGAGGGGTCGCCCTGGGCCTGGTTTCATCTGTACCTGCCTGACCTCTAAGGCTTGGTCCCCAGCTTCCCAGCAGGGGGCGCCCTGAACCTCGGGCCTCTGGTCTCCGCAGCTTTTGTTCCCTCTTCCCCACTGGGTGGCCCCAAGCTGCTAGCCCCAGTTTCCCTTCGGGGAGCGCCCGGGGCCATAATCCCCCTCCCTTCGGCAAACGCCTCAGGCGCAGTCCTCCACTGCTCCTCAGGAGGCGCCCTGCCGCAGGTCCGCCCTCGCCCTGCCCTGGGCGCCTAGGCTGCAGCCGCACCCCGCCCTCTCCCGGGCCTGGCCCAGGAGCTCCCCGGGCGGCCGGCTGAGTGACGGGCGGCCGGTGATTATGCTGAAGGGGGAGCGGGGTGCGCCGCGGGCGGCAGCGCTGACCCTTCACATTTCCGATCCGCCGGGACCCTCATCCATCCGAAGCTGCTCTTTGTCTGGCCGCCTAATTGCCGGCGGACAGGATGGATGGCGGGACCGACAGCCGCGGAATCCCTAATAAAGGCCGCGGCCGCCGGGGAGGGAGTGCAGGAGGGAGGGGGAGCAAGAGGGAAAGGATGGAAGAAGATGGGAGGAAGCACCGGGCGGCGGTCTCCGGCTCCGAGGCGCTGCGCGCGGCGCTCACTAAAGTCCAGCTCGCCTGGGGTGCTAGTTTGGGGTCCAGGTCCGGGTGCGGTGGGTTGGGGCTCGTTAAGTATCCTGCTCGT